GAGTAGTTCATGTGAAAGTTACCTGCAATAATGTAGACAGGATACGTTTAGAGTATCTTTTAGAAGTTTAAAATGATTGACTCTCAGTGTGGGTTGGATTTTAACAATATAACATTAAAAGTTTGTGTAAGTTACTCTTTAATGCTACACAGATGAACTGAGCAGTCTGTCAGAGTGAATATGTCTCAGGTGTGCAGGTGCAATGCAAATTTCATCCACTATATAGTGCTCTAAGAAATCATTATGATGCATGAAAAATCAGTGTACAGTAATAAAATCACTACTACTCATCCACATCAAAAGGAGTCAGCCAGTCCCAGACAAAAGACAGAGGATGGATGTATGGATGAAGGAGTGACTGAAAAAGTGGATGATTTAACCACAGCCACAATATACTAAAATAGAGAGAAAAAAACAGCAGCCAGAGGCACAAGAAAAGGGAAGACAGTAGGAATGAGACTAAACGACAGCCATAGCCATGGTACCATTAGCACTCTAATTACCTCTACCCCAGTATTACACACTGACTTGCCCAATTTCATGGGAACTGTCGTGCCTTAAAGGTATGTTAAGTATAATGCTTGCAATGGGAAGTGGAGGCCTGATGGAATGAACAACAGGCAAATAAAGGGACATATTGCTCATATGATTCCACAATACCCAGGGTAATGAGCTTATTTATAATATTTGTGAGGATTTGTTAGAGGTGGTTGCCACTAAAGCTTTCTGTGTCTGAGATGGAGATAACTAAGCCGCCATAGTTTTTCACGGTCCTGCCACGCTGCGGTTCATATCATTAGCCAGTTAATGAGTACACTGTGTGTATTAGAGATCGATCGATGGCACCTTACACAGGTCTCTTCATTAGGCTCAACCCACTGTCTACGATTGACTGTTCTCCTGTTGACAAAGGGTTCGGCCCCCACCAGGCGACACTCCCGGGGATATGTGTGTCACTCAGCAATTGAGTGTGATGAGCATTATTGATTGTTGTGGTTCAACAGGAAAAGGGGCTTACAATTATAGTGGATGTGTTCTTTAATGGCAGAGATGTGGGGAATACCAATGTTTACTCACTCAGGTGGGCAGAAACATGCAGCAGTTTGAGCTTCCGATAGCTGTAGAAAAAAATATATAAATGCAGTCCATTTACAAGCACTGACTTATCTCCTAGGCATGAATACAGAATAGATATACACACATTGCTACATTTATACACTTATAATTTGGGACAGGCAGCAATGTTATAGACATCTTAAAGAAAAGACATTCTGCCAATGAAGTCTGTGGGTTCCCCAAGAATCAACACTGACTTCCGACAGTTTTGTGATCCATTTCGCCAACTTTTTTCATCTTGTGCCACCAAGGGGTCAAAGATGAAAGTGTGTTAATGTCTGTAACTTTTGCACCATTCTTAATTTTTAGATTGAGAAGACAATTGCATCAATTATTGGAACAAACCGAGTTCAGAGCACTGTACAACCAATTTTATGTTGTTAAAAAAATAACACAAATGATCTTCAGGTATACATATGTCCCAGCTATCAAAATAGGAGGCAGAGTTGCCATACAGGAAGTGACGTGAGCAACACTTCTATCAAGCCAAACATTGGTGATCCGAGGACCCAGTTCTTGCAATTGCATTTCACTTTTCACAGTCTCACTGTTTATTGCAACAATACTAGCAAAAGCCACCAACTACTTAACAATCATTGGGGAATACATGTTTTTCCTTCATGTCCACTGGTTGCTAACCAGTTGCCAACCAGTTTCTAGGTCTGTGCTACAGGACCCTAATTTGTTTAGTACTGATATGTGTAGAGATGTTTAATAAAACTGTTAAGCACTTTGGTAGAACTTGAGAATTTTGCAGTTATTTTTGTGTACAAGAGGACAAAATATAGTGCCTGTGTTTGATCGTACTGTGGCGTATCCCAAGACACAGACATTTCGAGGTGTTACGTAACCACAATATATTACTGATATATAATTGATAGCTGATAGCCAGACCACCCCACCCCAGACCAAGGATCATCAAAGGTATAAGCTGGATATTAGCCGCATACACACTTAACAGGTGATCGTACCCCAACACTTGTTTAATGTGTTGACACCAAACATCCTCCCTGTTGTCTTTCAAAGAAAATTATACAATTTTGACCATTTGAACATTCTCCTCACAGTGCAACAACGAATGGTGTGTGACCGAATGTGTTCGGACGATGGCTGTTGGGGACCAGGGCCAGACCAGTGCCTCTCCTGCCGATTTTTCAAGCGAGGCCGTACCTGCGTTCAGTCCTGCAACCTTTTTGATGGGTGAGTAGTCGATTCATTCAGTAAAAGTCCTCTCCTTCCTCTGACACATTCTGAGCAAATGTTGTACGTGGGTCTGGAAATATCTTTGAGTAGATCTGACTTAAACTGTGAAAGAATTAAAAAAAAAAACACATTTCCGATCATTATGGTCCCAGGAAGCTGGATTAATTCCTCAGTAAACAGCCATACGTGACAAGCAGCAGAAATAAAATCAATTTAAACTGTTTTAATGCATGAAAATGAAGTCAAAACATCCTCAAGGGCTCTGGAGGAGGAGAGTCTAATTGCTGATTGGCATGAATGTAATGAGATGAACCAATAAGGAATTTTACAGTGCGAACAGTCAGAGGAACATTCGGCTGCATATTACACCCACTGTCCAAACTCAATTTAAGTATACACCATTGTTGAAGTACATTTCATTTCAAATCACCCATTTGGACTGTCAGACATGAGTGTTTACTGCACTGAGCAGGAAAATGAAGCAAGCTGTTTCCGAGTGTCCTCACAATCCACTGATGTTTTGCGTTCGCTGTGAATAATTGCATTCAGGTCATCCCTCTATGTTGCCAAGAGGCACATCAAAAAAATCACTGCCAACTCACCTGGGGAGAAACCCTCCTTTGTAGACGTAGTTTCCAGCCTTTTTCTTGCTGTTCTTGAATGAACGGGGAGATGCTGTGAATCGCAACACTTGAAAGCATCCATCTAAAATAAGACTGTACCGGCAGCATCTGCCACAAGATAAATATGACTTTTCTTGCAAGCGGTGTGATGTCAGGCTCGTGTTTTCCTCAGGGGAAGAGGAGAGCGCGTGTGTAAGTGTGTATGAGAGCGAGCAACCCTCGGTCATGTTGACTTGTTGCTGGTCCTTTCCTGCGCCGTTTGTGGGAGGGAAGCTTTGAAGTTGCCGGGGAAAACAGCTCATAGCGAAGGCTTTGAAGAAGACGAGGAAAGGCGCATGGCAGGGAGCGGCTGAAGCACACTTGTTTCCAATACTGTAAATACAGTCAGTCACAGTGAGGAAATGCAAGCAATATTCAACAGGCCCACTTTTTTGTTTTGAGTCACTGGCCTGACTTGTGGAATCAGAACATCCATAACCCAAAGGCCTGGTGTAAGAAGTGTCTACCTACCAACAAAGAGTGCTGAGTTGGTGTTTACTTGCTTTTACATAGTCTACTCTCAAAGGTTTTTTCATCTGGCAACAGAAAGCACATAAAATCTGCTACAAAGAAAGTCAGGAGAGGTTTAACAAAATGTGAAAAAAAAAAGAAACAAAACTTGGCAAAAAACTCGTCTTTTTGTTAATGTGTTGTTTGTTAATGTGCCCCAAAGTGGGTGTCTCCTTTTCCATTGTTATAAACACATTGAGATTATTTATGTGCTGTCATACATACATTGCGTAAAAGCTGCTAGGTGTAGTCCCTGACTGGCTGGCAAAGATTCCTGGCAGTTTCTGGCTCCTGCTGGGTGAAATTGGTCGAAAACTACCGTACTATCTATTTCAACTGCTATCCCCAGGGCAGTACAACTTGATAAAGTGCGACGCAATGTAGACAGTTTGCCTTCCAAGTGAAAGTTGTGGCACTGAGGCACTTTTTTCTGTAAAAGTGAACTTTTTTAAATTTCTGGCTTGTGTTGCATTTTTCACAGTTTGCAGCTCAGAGAGTAAGTGCACAGTGTTTGTAGATGAGTCCATTGCTTCATTTCAAAATACGACTGCAGCAACATGCGACTGACCAAACTTTTTACCATTCGAATACTGGTCAAGGAATCTTCCCCAGTGACTGGAGTTTGCCATGGGGTCACTGTGTTTAATATCACTATTCTTGCTATGTACATTTTCTTTATTCTATAGCATGTGTCTTGAAGATTGTAGAAGTAGATACAAATACACTGTTGAATTGATGAAGAAAGTCATATCATCTGCATAAAAAAGCCACATCATGGGATATCTAAATTGATTTTTTTTAAAAAGTGGGTACAGCCAATACTGTTCTGTTACGGTATGTGAGTTATATATAGTTTTCACCTTTAAAAAATCATTTTAGTCTTATTTCCACAGTCTGTACACTAATTTAATGACTGGATATTGACAGCAGATTGTCATAGCGCTGCTTATTTTCAGCACTTTTGCTGTATGCAGCATAGATTTGCTTAATATTTCACTTTGTTCTGAAGCTACTGAACTGTATATCTCTCAAGAATTTAGTGTTAGCTCATTAAAAATGTTCTCGGGATGGTGATTTTAAACCTTAAGATTCTTCAGCTCGTTCTTCTTCTGTGTTTCCATTGTTAATGAGAAGAGGCACTAATTCCCTTCAGTTTATACGTCTGTTGAATAAAACAAAGGGAGAGCAAAGGAGTTTGGGGGTGAGCAGGGAGGACTGAATCAATCCCACTGGGGTCGGGGGAGGAGGGAGGGAGGGAGCGAGTGAGGGAAGAGCTGGATGGGTTTAATTTTTTAAAAAAAAAGTTGCTTTGGTGGGTTGACCGTGCTGTGACTATTTGGATGTTTGGATTTCTGAACAGTGGCCACAGCCCTGCTTAAATTCCACCAAAACAGGACTAATCCCCCATCAGGTCATCCCCCCAGTGGGGCCTTGGCGCGCACTACCAGCTGTGAAGGAGGCCAATCAGGAGGAACGGCTTTGAAGGAATGGAAATGACCCCAGAGAGCATGACTGCAGAGGTCTTTGTCTCTCACCCATTCTGCTCCATGTATCTTTTCTTCCACCTCAACCAAGAAAAGAGATATCTCTCCACTGCCTGGGCCTTTTTTTCCCCTAAAGGATTCCCCTGCATAGTGCCTCAGAGAGAGGAATCTAATTTATTTTGGAACAAGGGAAAAAAAGCTGGGGGAGAAATGCAAAGAGAGCTATGGGAGTTTCCCACTGAAAACATTATTAATAAAAGGACCATCTGTAGCCTACACACTCTGCTTTTTGGATGTGTCAGACAAACTGCTGTGATCATAAAGAATCAATAGGACCATTTAAAGAAAAACTACCCTGACATAAAGGCTCAGCAAAGGGAAATCTGGGATTTTATCTTTATTTTTATTGCCTTTTAATGTGAGCTGAACACTAGAGTGTCAGGATGTTTCTTGGGTTTTTTTTGTTGCTTTTAAAACTACCGAGTCTAAAAGGTTTTCATCTAATATTACCCACATGAAAATGCATAAAAACCCACATACCCGCAGGAGATCCAAAATTCTCAGTGCCACATCTTATAAAAACAGCTCACAAGGAGGAATCTGTGGACTCTTTATTCCACCCCAATAGCATCACATGCAAATATGAACAAAAAACATGCGCGTGCACGCGCGCACACATACAGTCCCTTTCATTATCCCGCTGCTGTGAGAAAGAGGTTTGTTTGTAACTGGGCGAATCCTCCTCTGAGAGCG